ATTTGTTGCAAGTGATGTAGCCCAAATAAAAACTTGAATCCTTCTACCTGATTTTGACAAGGCATGGAATGTAACTTGTCCTTGTAAAACCGGATAATGTACTGATCTTCATAACGGCCTGAGGGAAAAAAAACAGACATCAAAACTACTTCATAACAATACCTAATAAATTAGTTCGCTCGAAGAAGGGCGCTTACTAGAGAGGGGACACTGACATGTATTAGGTGCTTTGTGAAGACAACTGCGAGAAAAAGAGAAAATGCATAGCATTTGTTACCGCTGTTTCTATCCTTGCTGTCCTGTAGTGTTTCAAGGAACTCTTGATCTTCTTGTGCCTTAAGATCATCTTCATCATCACCCTCAGCTTCTGCGCGAGCAGCACTGCGTTGCTAAAAATAATTAAAACTCCATCAATAAAGTGTTTGATCAGTGGTACCTTAATGAGTTCATACTACTTTAAAAGGGTTATTGCCCTGGTGGAAAATGGGAAGAAGTTTTAAATTAGAAAACATGTACAATGGGCAAGGATATAAAGACAAGAACCTTTCTTTCAGTTAAGATAAGAGATAAGATAAGATAACCTTTATTTTAAAACGATGAGTATTAAAGCTACATGAGCTTGTGGGGTCGTTCTTTCAGTTCTGTGATTGTATTGACTTCAAGGCCAGTGACAGGAGCCTGAGTTGTGGTATCCATTCATTGTAGGCTTTCACGCTTTACTAGCATTGATTCCATGTTCTGTAGTCGGCGCAGTTACAAACTATATAAAAAAGTCTGCATACGAGCCAAGAGGCCAATCAGGCCGCCACTTATCTCCAGTTTCTGTAACATGAAGCAACTAGGAGTATTAAATTCTACTCCCCCCTGGATGGGATGCTAGTCCATCGCAGGGCTCAAACTAGGACTGCTCAACCCAGAGATGAATGCACTAACCATGAGGCCACTGCACCTCCACAACAAACTATATAGGCGACAAAATTCGAGAATTCAAGTGAGTGACAAATTCGAATTGTGACTGAAGTGATTTCACTGCAAGGTTTCAGAAGCTTCTTCATCTTCTCTCATTCACCCCAAAAAGAACCCCTGATTGAAGGTTTGGTTATGATGTACTGTAGTTTATTTAGTTTCAGCAATTATTAAGTTCATCACTCCAAAACCTAAATCCCTCTTCCCAATGTACAATATTGTATTTTATCCTGCAAATTAATAAAAACGTACCAGTTTTTCCACAGCTTCATCAATGACGTCTTGAATTTTGATGTGATGAAGTTTGTAGTGATCACAGAGTTGTTTGATGACAAGTGTTTTACCAGAGGCAGGTGGGCCCAAAATGCAGGCTCTAAGTGGCTGGACAAAAACGATTATAAATGAAGAGTTTTGTAAGAACACAAAATAATGTCCTGTTGAAAATAATTGTCTCATGTCTTTCAAGATGGTGTGTTAAGAATCAGTGAGAATCAGAAACCTCTTCCCTATTTCCTTCCCTACACGATCTGAGGGTTTGCTCCCTAGGAAAACTGTGAAAACTTGTTCAACGCATCTTACATGTGCTTTCTCAACTCAGGGGCAACATGACCATGTTTTAAGCATTCATAAAACATATTATTTTATGGGCAACTGGCTGTTCAATAAAAAATTGAAATGTGTGAGAAACAATATTGTTTTAGCATGGGAGCATAAGATCGCATCCATTTGCAAAAGTGTCTTGCTCAATGTGTGAGGCTTTGAGAGCTATGTAGTAATCAGAAAGATGTTACATTGTTGTTTTTGTTGTTGTTTATTGTGGTCAATGTACTCCCTTGCTAGTTCACAGGCATATCACTTAAACAGAAAGAAACAAACACATCAACTACACATAATAGGTTTAAAAATCCCAACTGGCAGGAGACAGACCAGTTGGCTATTTACAAACATGACTGAGAAGTTGAACCAGGGTCTACCGAGAAACAACTCCAGCTGAGTGGTCAGAGCAGGACTTAAACCAGAGACCTCCAGATTTCAAGTCTGGTGCTCTAACCATTCTTCCATGCTCTAACATGTAACATCAGTCAGTATTTAGTGATGAAAGCTACTCAAAATAGTTCATGAATCCATAAACAATGCAAGAATTAACACTGACATATTGCAAATCTTACCAGTAAGCCTCTTGTTTCTTTGTACTCTTTTATGACTTGATCTATGTTCTCTGTAAGGCCAGCCTAGAGGTTGTCATTCAAAAATACTGTAATATTAATTTTTATCAATAAAATTTCGGTAATACTCATATTAATACGAAAATTGCATCTCACTTGGAAATTACAACACCCCCATAAGAATTTTGTTGATCAACTAACAGAAGGCTTGTTTCCATAGTAAGCAACATGCATAAAGAAAGCTGCACTACAATCATAGGGCAAAATTTTCACTGTAAGATAAGTTCAGATAACAAACGATTGGGGATGAAAAACAGAAACTAAATAAATTAAACTGTCAATTGTATTCTAACTAAATATCCTTTGATTTAATCTGACCAGTTCTTACCTCTGACACCCAGGAGATGTTCATGCCTTCCTTGATGTATGTAGCATCCATTCTCAGGTTGACCAAGAGCATGTCAAAGTCAGCTTGCTATGAACAAATTCATTGAAATTTGTATCAAAAAAAGTCTAGCTCAAGAATATAACATAACTTTATGATGAAAAGGCTCTAACTCAACTCTGTACCTCTGAATACAAACAAAGAGTATAAATAAAATGTACATAATCATCAATAATAATACCTCAAGCTCTTTTATAAGCAATGCTTCTTCTTTAGTGATGTTCTTGACTTTTCCATTTCCAAGATGTAAACTTACAACCTGAACAAGGAACCATAGAATTTAGAAGTTAAGATATTTCAGTATACTCTGTCTGGTAATACTGACAATTCCAGCAACCCAGATCAAGTGTTTTTATAAATTCCAAAATAGGACATTATACCTTGACAATTTCTTCAAGGGTGTTCTTAGAATCATCCACTGCCACTAGGTAGCGAACTTTAGGATTCTGATCACAGATGTTCACGATCACTGCTGCAAGGTCCTTGATGTGGATGGCTGGGACAATGTTCTGGCCATTCCCGAAACACTGCAATGCTGGAGCCTGTCCGTGCCATGCCGTCTTGAAGAGGAAGTGAAATATCTCTTCTCCTGATCCATATGTTAACCCTGAGGCAACAACATAGGTAATGAACTTAGCCTTGTTTGTTTTTCCATGCTTGATGACAAGCTTCTCGGCACTGATGTGTGATTTGAAGTTAGGATGAGCTCTTCTACGGCGGTAGTCATCTTCAGTGAAGGAAATCTCTGGATCATCCTATTTGAAAAAATCAAACAATGCTTTTAAACATGTTTTTTGACTTTAAACCTTTGGCTCCTGTGCTGGCTGTAACCAGTCATGAGGAGTGTTGACCTTTGTTCCAATTCTGACATCATCACCTTTGACTAAAATTGGCATTGCTTATACTTAAGTTCAGCAGAAGGAAAAGACCTTACCAGTGACACCCAGGTCAGAGTGATTGGGTGAATTGAGCTTGAAATATGGGGATTGCACAAAAATGGTTAAAAATTAAAGTAAAAGACTCAGAGGAAAATCTCCCTCAACTACATGTACACTTGGCTACTCCGTGGTAAAAATTTCCTGTCTC